CATTGCCTCAAAACAAGTTCCTTCTAATAAGAATAATAACTCTAATAATGTTACTTGTTACAATCTACTACTTGCTATATAATTCCTATGAGTTAGGCCCTTACTATGAGGTGTCTTTTTTGGTAACATTAATTTATGTAATCATCACAGCAACCCTGTTAAACAGATATTGTATTTCCAAAGTCACATAGTCTATATGTACTGAAACAGGACTCTGACCCATAAGGTATAGAGTCTTCCATGTTGTTGACATAAACATTGTCTACCCTCCCAAGACAGCATGACACAGAATGTCCTCGCTCTAGCGCTGAGCAAATAAGGATTTGAAGACAGCTGTTGTAGGCGTTCCCCAGTCTTTTCCTTAGCCAACCAACAATGCTCATTTCCTTCAGCTGCTCCTTCTGTGACACATTAACTAACATGGGCCCCTCCTCTGAGCACACTCCTCTCCATATCGTCTAGGACCTTGGCATCACCCCCATCACCTGCACTCTGCTCACCTGCACTGTCCCCCAAACTTCTACCTACTGCCTTTGCCTCCATCTCCATCCTGCCCCCCTACCCTCCATTTATTATGCACATAGCAATCGAATTTTTTTTCATGTAAATCAGATCAGTGCATGTCTCTGCTTTAAATTCTTAAATGACTGCTGATTATACAGTATAAAATCAGCTCCATCTCATGGCTTAGTGTGCTACATGGTCTAATCCTTCCTTCCTCTCTCCTCTAAGTCTATTTACCTTTTCTCTCCTCCCCTAACTTTCAGACACAACATCCTCCTTTATTCTCCTTCGGCCCCTCCAGCTTGTTCCTATCTAAGGGTCTTTTTACTTGTCACCTCTGGCTGGAATGCTCTTTCCTGCATTGTCCAATGGCTGGCCCTCGTCAAAAGTCATCTCCTCAAGAAAATCTTTAGTCTTTCTCAGTTATCAGGTCTTAATCAGCTCGACTTCCTCCTCATTCTAGTCACTCCCTAGCAATCATTTCCATTGTTTTCTTCCAGCACTGATCAGTCTGTGAAACGACTGATTTTATTTAATTTTACACCGCTTCCCCCCCCACATTTCTCAGTGTAAGCTTCATGGAGACTTTAGTGTCTTTGTCTGTCTTGTTCTCTTCTGACTCCCCTGTACCTGGAATAGGGCCTGGCAAAAAGAGGGTGCTCAGTAGGTACCGGCTGAATAAATGAAGGCATCCTCTGCTCTCAGCGGCCCCTTTTAAGTGCAATTTTTAGAATTGGACAGGTGATAACTGATGTTATTGCTACTTGCACTGAGGTCTCCAAATCCTGGCTTTTCCGTGCAGACTTCATTGGCTGCCTTTCATTGCTGTTGTTATTGTCACTGTCACTGTCATTCGGGCAGTCAAAGCACATTGCTGACTCATAGCTCCCTAAAACTAGTAAGTCTCTTTATTTTTAGATCTACCGTATTTGCCGGCGTATAAGACGACTGGGCGTATAAGACGACCCCCTAACATTTCCACTCAAAATACAGAGTTTGTTATATACTCGCCGTATAAGACTACCCCCTCTTCCGCACACCTTCCACACACCAAATAAAAGGTAAAACAATATCAGATTTGATTTGGCCCACTGAAGTGCAAACAAGCGTATTGTATTTCGTGTCACCACATAACCGTTTTGGCGATGTTGAGCCACCATGTCTGCTACATGTTTTTCGAGTTCTGGCCAGTGTGGGGTGCCTCTTCTTAATGCACACTTACCCCTTGGCATACTCTTTAATGCTTTCTCATTTGATTTCCAGTCCCGAACCATCTTTTCTGTTACTCCATATTGTCTTGCAGCAGCACAATTATATTTTCCTTAGCAAAGTTTATAACTTTCAGTTTAAAATTTGCATCATACTTCTTTCTTTTGGCTGGTGCCATGATAGGGATGATAGGGGTTTGACTGGTCGACATTTTCTATGCTGTACTGTACAATGGTGTAGTATTGTGGTTGGCTGTTGGCTGTATACAAAGCCTGATTTGATTGGTCCCTGCTCCCTGTTTGCCCGCCCTGTCACTATAGCAGTCTGGTCCACTCTTGCATCAGCATCTCCCTGGGACCTCACTAGTGCGCAAGTGCGAGCTCTTCAACATTCTAACAGGCACCATGATAGCGCAAAATCACGAATCTTCAATGCATATGTAAAGAAATATACGGTAACCCGAATTTACCACACTCGCAAAATCGCACACAGCCGACCATACACCCAGTATGGTATCGCGATTCGCGATTTTGCGCTATCATACTGGGTGTATGGTCGGCTGTGTGCGATTTTGCGAGTGTGGTAAAATCGCATAACAGCAAAATCGCATAACAGCCGAGCATACACCCAGCAGCGCTGCTGATGCCTGAACGGTATGTGGAATGAAGTGGGCGGGCATCGGGAGGCCACTATGGCACGGGGCAAGCACTATGGGCAGTCTATCTGAAGTGTACCTGGCGTATAAGACGACCCCCCACTTGGAGGCATATTTTTCAGGGCCAAAAAATCGTCTTATACGCCGGCACATACGGTATGTCCTCATTTCCATAACCATAACCATATTTCTATGGTTAGTTTTTTTTCTCCAAAAACATTATTTTAATTGACTTACACCATCTTGTTAGATTTGGCTCAACCTATCCACCTTTTGAAATCTTTCTGGATCCTGGTTTTCTTCTCCAATTCATTAGGCCATTTTTTCTCCTGCAGACTCGGCTCACAGCATGTCAATCTCCGCAACCCTGAGTTTCTTGCTTCTGATGTGGGCTGGTTAGAATTTCAGACATCCCCCTTTGTTTGATGTGGTCTTTGTATCATATGCAGCTCTTATTGTTCTATTTGAAAACTGAAAGAATGAGATTAAGCAAGTTGTTTCACTTGGTTCTCATCTTTTCCATGTCAGGGAGTGGCAGTTCCCCATCAAGGATGGGAGAACATTGTTTCTAGGTTCCACTCTGCCCTCCTCTCCTCTATTTGCTTTTTGAGTTTTATGTCATTCTTAGGCTGAGAGGGAAAAACAAATCATTTCTTTACCAAAGAGTTGTAGATAATTCTTCCTTTGGGTGAATTTGGCTAGATGTGTAGGGAGAAAACTTTGTGTAAATTTGTGGAGGGATTGTATAGTGAATGAAAATATACAAAGTTCTCCAGATTGTGGGTGCCTTGAGCTGGGGGAGTGTCTTCTATCTGACATATCTAGTTCCTAGGATAGTGCCTGGAACATAGCAGGTACAGTGAGAAACAACACTAATACCATTATGGTAATATGACCTCCAAATTTGTTGAAAAATATCCAACACCTATTGCTACTACATGTCAAACCCTATCAAATGCTTTGTATATATTGACTCCTTTGCTTCTCTAAACAACTAATAAGGTAGTGGTATCCCATCTTATTAATGAGGAGACCCAATACCGAGAAAGTAACTTCCACATGTGACATAGCTACAAAGTAGCAATGCTAATCTTGGAACACAGGCAATAGAATTCTACAAGTCATTTTTTTAACTGCTACCATTTTCTATCTGTCCGAATTTGTGCTGGGATTTATGCATGCATTATTACATTTGATCCTCAGTGCATATGTATGATGTAGGTGTGATGGTCCCCGTTTTACAGATAGGAGATCAAAATCTTAGGGAGCTTAAATAGCCTCCTCATGGTCACAGAGCTAGTAAATAGCAGAACTAGACTTGGAATCCACTTCTGTCCCAAATCTATCCTCTTAAACACTAAGGTATAGAACAATATTGTAGATGCATAAGAAATGAATAAATGATACCTGGATAATTAAATTTAAATGATTGGTTTTCATGAAAAAAATTAAAGTTATTTGTGCAAGACAGTAGAGGCCATGTGGAGACTGTTCATATGTCTATGACTCAATGACAGACGGCTCCCTCTGTTGCAGCTGAAACAGACCAATTCATTAACTCTTATGATCCTGCACAAATAACCCTGTTGTTTTGTATAAGAGAAAAATAATAAAAAATAAAAATCTGGACTAAAATAACAATGAAATACCAAAAAAATTCTTAATCATCTTAATCAGAAATTGATTCTGCCTGGCTTGTTTTATCAAGGAATTGCTCTACATATGTAGCCAACATTCATTGTCCGACAGTTCTTATCTCTGTAGTGCACGCCAACAGCAAACTAGGAACTTAATCCCAAGTTGACTAGCCCACTGTAATCTAAAGTATTTCATTAAAGTCACCATAATAGATGTGTGATGTGTGTTTTAATAGGACCTTATGGCAAATATGTATACTTTGCGTGGCCTGAAGAGCTTCTGTGTGTACTCAATGAATATTATTAGGATAGACCTCAACATTTACATAATAGATTTAACTTTATGAGAATTTAAAAATACACTTTCTGTTAAGAATTTCTTTCTCCACAGGATAATTGCTTTGTCTTCATTATCCTTAATTTTGAACACTTAACACCGAATTATTTCAGTCTGGAAACTATTTACTGGATACAAGTTAGGACATTAAGATCCTACTGTGTAACAGACTCTGATACATGTTGTGTTTGCAGGAAGAAGAAAAACTGACAAGGTCCTTTGCTCATGGAGTTTATAGCCTAGTGGGTACCAGTTGTTAAATTAACACTTTAGTGCAGTAAATGAACCTCTGTATGTTTTAGCATGGATTTATCTTGGAAAACCATTTTTTTTAGTTGAGTCTAAGAAAAATGATGTTAAAAGTCTAGTACTAAGTGTTTTGTGCAGTTGTTCACTGTGTAAAATGTATTTTGTTCATGTACTTTTTCTAAGATAAATTATGGCTTCTCTCTCTCTCTTTTTGTGTGTGCGCACGCATACACACACACACACACACACACACACACTCAACTCTAGTCAGTCTCTTTTCTGATGTAGGCGTTTAATACCTGTTACTGAGATAAAATAGTGAAAATAAAACCTCCCTGTTTTAGTAGTTTCACCTTCCTTTCATCCTCTCTTTAGAAAGGAATTTAAGTTCATTTAAATGAAGGACTCAATTTATCAATTAATCCTGTAATTATTTTTGCTTTGATAATTAGTTCCGTTGCTGCTCTTTTTCATTAGCACATGCAGTTGTAGTTTAGCTTATAGTCTTTCTGTTTGAAAGTTAATGAGGTCTGCTAAGAGGCATAGCAATAGCCAATTGGCTGGAATGCAGCAGCAGGGGAAAAATTCATTACCAAGGAGAATTTTAAAAGGGCAGCTGCTTCCTTAATGCCATAGCTATTAAGATGCAGCTTCCTGCCACAACAGCAGCATGTTTCATTAACTTTCATCCTCCCAGTTTTATGTTGTTTCCTAATATATAATTCCCACCTGCTATCAAAGGCATGTGCAAGGGGTTTTCAAATTATTTGCTTTCCTAATCATAAAGTGCTGCTGCCTAAAGAAGAGGGGTTTTAAGTTTTTAATTACAAAAAAATTTTTTTCAATTAGTTGACATTCTATATTATATTAGTTTCAAGTGTACAGCATAGTGGTTAGACATTTATATAACTTACAAAGTGGTCCCTCCATAAGCTTTGCACCCACCTGACACCATACATAGACATTTATCACAATATTATTAATTATATTCTCTAAGCTGTACTTTACATCCCCATGACTATTTTGTAACTGCCAATTTGTACTTCTTAATCCCTTCAATTTTTTCACCCAGACCCCCAGGTTTTTAACTTTTTTAAAGTCTTAAAACATTTTACAAATTTTTCAAGAGTAAGATTGATTTTATTCTAATGTACTAGTGGGAAATTGAACAAAACTCACATTCAAATTTTGACTTTTCTCCTAGTGTGATTATTAAAAATAAAAATAATAATCATTAAAAATGTATAGTCACGTTAAATTTGTTTCATAGAGCCTTTTAAGACAAGAATCAAGGCTCCTATCATTTCTATTTCATGTCTCAACAATAATTTCACTGCAATAATTCCCCATTTGAAGATGTCCTATTGGAATTCATCTGTCCTATAGTAGAAATTCTCAATCTCAAAGAAAAGACTCCTGCTTGATTCTGAAGAGGAGATCTGAAACCTGCTAGTGTGTATTTGGAATCCTTTGCTGTTCATTATCCTATTATTCCGTTCCTCCCCTGATGCCAAACACCCACAGTGTGTCTCTCTCTGAATGTGCAACATTCTAAGTTCATAAATTCCTTGGTGGAGGGGGAGATCATTCACATCAATGCACGGAGTAGTAATAGTGAAAAGACAGAGAAAAGAACAGGTCATTTGGTAATATGCCACTAACGTTGCCTTTATCATTTCCAGATCCCAATCAGTAGTGGATCCTACAGTACTAAAGCGCATGGATAAAAATGAGGAAGAAAACATGCAACCTTTGCTCTCTCTGGACTGATAACTTCTCTGCACTCTCCATGGATGAGAAATGGAAGGTACTTGTTTTCAGCAACAGGGACTGCACTGTGGAGGGATTGACAGCTGGAAACGCTTATTCTTATTAATGTCGTATAACATGATGAGGCATCAGGCTTTCCCATTTGCCTGAACCATGGGTTCCCTGGTCCAGTTTAAAAAAAAAAGTCAATAATTTATTCTGTAAGTGCCAAGTTCTTTGTAAATACAATGTAATCTTTACGTCAAGTTTGTAAATTTTGTTAATAACTAAAACTGGAAAAGTTTGGCTCATGAGTTCATGCCAGTGATGTGACCTATAACAAAAACCAGAAAAGACACAATCAAAGAGAATTAAATGTGCCCTCTTTCCTATGAAGCCATATTTCAGCTCTCATAGTGATTGTTTCATTGCTTTTCTCTGAAACTCCTGTCATATTCAAATACACTTTTTGTGGGCACAGGGAAGTAGGGAATTCTAGGAAATCATGATGATGAATGTAATTCCTGTAATTTCCATTACACAGAAAATGTGTTCTAGTGACTATCACTGGCCTTGCGTTTTGGAGACAAGGAATAGCAAATGATCTGGTAAACGGAACACTTGAACTCTTCTATGTTGTTTAATGCCTGGAGTCTTGTGAAAGATGCTTCCCAAATTAAGGTGTAGAATTCGGAAAGGGAGTAGATTATTTTTAAACTGCTGTCTTTGCAATGTATCTTTTACTCAAGATGCCATTGAATCCGTCTGATGTACTTTAAGGACATTTCCCCCTCAAAACTCTTTGACCAAGAGAAAGAACTTATACACAAATAGCGTTTCGACAGCTAGTTTTGAATATAGAAGTTGCTGCATACAGATAAGGAGCTAATTTCTAATTATTGTGCACTAGTTGAAAAAACATATATTCACACACATATATATTTTTACTGGGCTCTAATAAATATTTGATGTGACAGTCTTACATAATAAATTGTACATATTCAATGGTCTTAGAGATGTTACAGATTATTACATGGGATACTAACTCTGGAAAACTACTCACACTAAAGTTAATGAAAATGAGGTACAGTGAAACAGACTTTTAGTGAACCTATTCAAGGTAATTCTAACTTAATTTGTAATGCCATCTGAATCTGTGCCATTTTAGTGAAATATATTGGGTTGTCGGGAAAATCACGACACATTTTTGCATTGAAAAACAGAGAAAAATACGTCATGACTTTCCCTACAACCCAATATGATTCCTTCATAAAAATCAACAGGTTTCAACATAGTGTAGGCAGTCTCAGGTGACCAAGAGTGGTAATACAGTTTTTCTAAAATTCAAGTTAATTATCCTAATGATCCAATAGCTACATTTTCTTTTCAGAAAAGATTGAAAAACCATATTGCATCCAGGTGATATAATGAAAGCATCTAAGGGCATCTAAGATAACATATTATAGTTTAAATATGGATTGAGAATTTTTTTTTTTAGCTCCACCATTCTGCCACCTGTTGGCAGCTCAGCGGCAGCTCAGCTCGGGCTGGGAATTGAACCGGTGACCTTTTGCTCAAAACTCTTGAGTGAGCTCTTAACTGAGTCACTCGGCCAGCCCCTAGAATGCTTCTGTTATTGAAAGCTTTTATTTCTTAAAAATTCTGCAGTTACAGCACATTTTAAAAATCTTAGTTTGAATTTCAAATTCCAGTGTGAAAAAGGAAAAATTTTTACCACAAAAAGCAAAAATAAGATGTCTAAGAGGTAATTTTTGAAATTGAGAATTTACCATGAAAATATTCTTTTGGAAGAAAAATATCTCAAGGAATTCTTGAAAGCCAACAGAAATAAAGGTGTGCAGCAGCCTTTATATATTAGACTTTTTAGCTAGAAGTTTAAAATTTTTCAGTAATAATTCTACAGCCAAAAATCTTAAAATAAAGGTCAGTATACCAATCTGCAGTATCATCAGTGGGCTGTCTGTCTAATATTTGTAAAAATACATAAATAACATAAATGAAAAAAATACCGTAAGAATGCCAACTTTCAGTCAAGTGAGAAAGAATAATGACTGTCAAGTATTCGGTTGTACCTATAAATATTATAGAGATGGGAATGAATTGAGGATAAAAAACCACAGCAACTCTTATCATTGTAAGAACGCTGACCACTTTTTTGCCTACCTGACATACATTTTACAGCCTTGGGCTTTATATATTATATAAGAAGTGTTAGGCAATATGATGCATTGTAATAAAATAGAAAGAAACTAAGTACAGATGGGCAGTGAACTTTTCATTCTCATTAATTTCTCTTGGTATTCAACATTTATTGCTAATTTTCGGAATTCTACCAGCTTCAGATGTCAACCAGCATAGCCAACTTCTTTCTGCCATCATAAGACTAGTGTCATACATAAAAATAACTATGAAGGCATATTTTTATGTCTATACCTATCTAATTATGAGTATCATTCACACTATCTCCCTGCCCCACATTTGGAAACTGCGTCAGCATGGTTGCTCGTCTGCTCTTCTTCAAATGAGCAATTGAGAATTGACTGGTTTGTGTAAAATACTTTAAAATGAATGAATGAACAAATTGCAACAATGTTGCCTTTTAAAACTGCTATATCTAGTTCAGTCTGTGAGTAAACTCATTTTCCAGGAGTGTTTTTGAAGCTGCTTAGTCAAGGGATATTTTGTTCACACTATAAATTTTCCACTCAGAATCAGCTAACTAGCACCGCTTAGGAGTTTTTTTTTTTCCCTCATGTGATTTTCTGTGTCATGTAGCTGTCTGTTGTTACATAACTTAGCAAACAAGCACCCCTATATTTCAATTTGATTTAGATAGCACACTCCCACCCACACACAAACACTAGGCTGTTTGCCCTACTGAATTTGCCTTTCAATTTTGAGAGCTATACTTTGGTTTTTTAGTTGTCTTCTTACTGAAAATATGTAGACATCAAAAAGTCATCACATTTGATTTGGAATAGTCCAGTAGTTCATTTACTTCTCTTGCTCCACGTGATCTACCTTCTATTCTTGTATCTTTTCTTTTTTCCATTGTTTCAGGGATGCTGCTGCCAAAGCTGCTTTAAAAATAAATAACTTCTCTTATGTTGTCAGTGATATTTGCACACATTTTTGACTGATATTTTAAAAGAAAGAGATTATCACGAAAATATTCTCTAAGAACTATGAAGAGTGCCTCCTTAAAAATGGAATAAAACAATGGTACTAGATTATGGATTCTATTTGTACTCTCTTCCGAAAAGTAAATACTTACATCTATACTCTAAAGGTGGAATATAGATATCATTTGAATAAGGATATTTGAGACCTTGCTATGAGCATTTCCAAAGAGTTTTAAGTCTTTATTGTGTAAATTCAATAAAATAATTTGAACACGTTATTGACAAACTTGACCTCTATGCTAAAACAATATACAAGTATTAAATAGAGTTTTGCAAACAAGTTTTTGAAGTGAGCATGCATGATTTCTTTTTTTTCAATAATAGTTTGCATAAGTGTAGGCAGAGACATTCTTAAAATCTTTTCATATAAAATGCTTGCTTACGGTACTGAACATTCATACATTCATAAGCAGGAAAGCCAAACAGCTAGGTTCTTTTTAATATTGCTAACTAGGTCACATTGTTAAATGAAACATTTGAAGTGTCTGTAATATTCCTGAGGGGACAGGGGTCCTTCTAATGCATCCAGGAAATGGAGAGTTGTTTTAGACATCGGGGGACATATTTATCGCTCTTTACAAACAGAAGTCCTTAGACATGAGGCAGTGTGACATCATGAACAGGCTTTCTTTCCTTCTGAAAACAACCTAAAGGCTTATGGACATGTCTATAGTCCTATAGAGAAGTTATGTCAAGAAAACCTGCTGAGAGGCTGTACTCTTCTCTGTTGTTTTATCTAAACATCTAACAGGTCTAGTGAGTTAATAATTTATCTCTTTTGCTTCTTATTTTGTGTGTATTAATATGATTAATTCAAAAATTGCCAACAGCCATGAGGACATTTCAGAATATTTTTCAACACACAAAATAAAATGAGTTGAGCTCTGGCATGGTATCTGAAATTTCAGATAATGGTATTTACACTTTTTATATCAATAAGCTAACAGGCATATATTCCATTTTATATGTGTCAAATAGATATATAGCTTGAAAAACAGTGATGCAGTTTAAATTTATGAGGCTATTAGATCACAAAAGAATCAACAGATAATATAAAACATGTTGGAACAAAAGTAGACTGTTGGCTAAATTTTCAAAGTGGGTAACTATCTTTAGTAGGAGTTATTTTTTGTTTTAGTTACTGGTTTCCAATATGCTGTTGGAACTATTTAGCACTACTTACTATTTTAAAAAAGTCAAATAAGTAAAAATACAAAAGAGGCTTAGCCTTGAAACATTATCATATCATCATCTTAATGGCTTAGGGAACATAATTAGTTTTCATTAATATAAGTTTTTATAAACATTCATAGGTTAATCCTATGACATCTATTCTGTGCTGAGCGTAGGAATTTATTCTCCTGGACTGTAGGAAAAAAATATAAAATAGTAATTCTGCAGATTGAAACACCCAAATTGTGATATTTTTCAAAAAAGGAGGAGTGCAAATGATACTGTTGAAATTTAAAAAATTAGAAACCAAATAAGTATAGGACTTAAACAAAATAATTGCACTTTTATAGTTCATAGTGGACATTGTTACAATTTAGAAGGTGTTGGTCAGTATTTGACTTAGTTTCAATGCAAATATGTCTGTCCTTAATGATAACAATGCATTTATTCTGTCAAAATTATTTCTCATAGTGAAAGAGAGGGACCTAGATAAATAGCAAAATATATTTTAATAAAGCTTTTAAGACTGAGCCAATCCTCAGTCTATTTTGAAAAATCATATATATATATATACACACATACATATATATATATACACATACATATATGTGCGTATATATATATATATATATATATATATATATATATATATATATATATGTTTGCAAATAAGAGAGGTTAAAAGCATTGTCCTGTTGCTAATCCAGTTTTTCAATTTTCATATTTGTTTAAAAGATAAATAAAACTCCAAAGAACAAATAGTTTTTGTTTTCAAATATTCCAGAAAAAAATAAAATGTGTAAGTCCTTGATAAGAATACTAAACACACTACTATTTGGCTCAAATACCTCTGACCTTTTGAGGAACATTTGTTCTAATACAATATCATAAATGGTATAATGTAATTTTTGAATAAAGACTCATTGCTGCTATAAGAAAGCATTCACTTTGCATGTGGTAAATATTGAACTTGGGAGTACTAGATCTGTTGCATCTGTGAAATGGAGATTTCTAAAATGTCATCTAAAAATGGACAACAATAACTTTGTTATGAGAGAAACTGTAGTTAGCTATTTAAATGAGGATACATGAAATTTTCTAATATTTGAATGTTTGGGGCTTAAAGGGGAAAACACATGATTCATTTCATCTAAATTATATTTTCAGTATTCTAAACTTCCTGGCAAGCTTTCAAAGATAGCATGAATAAAGAAGTAGATTAACTTTTAAGTTGCATATAGCAATGGGAATGATCAGTAAATACTATAAAATTTTCACATTTTATATAGAGTTATTGGATTAGACAAGTGACTAAATTCAGAAACTTGAATTGCAAAAAACATTGATTTAAATAAATCCTATTACAAATAATTCCAGTTCAAAATATTAAGCAAAATAAAAATATTCAGCCTGATTTGAAAATAAGGCTTACTCAATAAAAATGCGTTTGTGCCATCTGTGAGTTTCCATCATTTATGTTACTGTGGATGAAAAATCATCTAATGCAGGAAAAGAGACATTTACCTAGAAACCTCTATGATAGACTTTATTTTATTTGGCTCATATACAGATGCTTTTCCTATACCCAGGTTTTGAGGTTATCAAATCACTAGTGCCACCTCTTCCTAAAGCCGTGTCAGGATTAGGCCAAGTTTCTAGCAGTGACCACAGAAGCATCCTGAGTGGGAATAAACCCAGGGCAGAGAATGCATTGAAAAGCCACAGGTAGGGTCTCCACTCCTTGTCACTAAAAAGTGTGTTAAAATATATTATTAATTATAAATACAGAAAACTATTTCAAAATGCAAAGGGTTTCTGATATCAAAAATTAAATACTTTACATTACTGATCATATTCCCCAAACTGTCTTTTGTATCCCTGTGGCAATCTTGTGGATACCAATTTATGCTGTCTAATCCTCTCATCTTCTCCTTCATCCCCACCCCCTCCCATCTAGCAACCTTCAGTTTTTCCTCTATATCTCTGAGTCTATTTCTGTTTACTTTGCTCATATATTCAGTTCTTTAGATTTCACATATAAGTGAGATCATATGGTGTTTGTCTTTCTCGAACTGACTTATTTCACTTAGCATAATGTTTTCTAGATCCATCCATATTGTTGCAAATGGA